TGTTTTTAAAAAGAAGCAATTGCTTTCAAAAGAGTGCATTTGTTTGTGTGTCTAGCAAAAGGCTGGGTAGCAGAAGTTAGGTATCACTTGTCCAAAAGTGCTTAGGACTAGAAGGGCTGCAGTTACAAATTACATCACATATCAAGTTAAAATGGATATATTAGAGTGATTAACCTGTCTAGAAGCAAAACCAACTCCAGGAAATCAGCTTTGACTTGGAGTTTAAAGTGACATTCAGTCTCACAAAACAATAGCCCATTATATATACCTTGTTGAAAAATACTTCACACTGGTGTTCCCATGGTAACTTTAAGTAGAGTGCATCTTCATCTGAGGTCTTCTTGATGCTCTGATTTCCCCAGTACTCAAAGAGAAGAGAAATGCCATAAAAGAGGGAGCCATTATAGGTTCCAAGAGAAAACTGACTCTAGAGAAAATGTCCAGAGACCTACAAAACTGACCACAACTAACAATTTGAGCAACAGTGGAAAGGCTACCATAAATGCCCTTCCCTGATAATGAGATTGATGACTAACTTATCCACCATCATAGAGCCCTCATCTAGTACCTGTTGGAAACAGAAGCAAACACCCACAGCTAAAAACTGAGTCAAACTGGAATCCAGACACAGAGAGGAAGGACAAGACCAGGCTGCAGAAACCCACAGAGACAGCTGACCTGAACAAGGAGGAGCTAATGGGCCCCCAGACTGATAGCTGGGAAGCCAGCATGGGACCAACACAAACCCCCTCCCCGAACATGGGTCTCAGTTAGAAGGCCTGGGCAGTCTAAGGGACCTCTGACAGTGGAACCAGGATGTATCCCTGGTGCACAAAAGGACTTTGGCAGCACATTCCCCATGGAGGGATACTCCCTTAACCTAGAGGCAGAAGGGAGGGCCTAGACCCTACTCCAAATGACTTGACAGATTTTGATGATCCCTCCTGGAAGGCATCACCCTCCCTGTGGAGTGGGGGTGGAATGGGATGGGGGGTGGTAGTGGGGGGATGGGAGGGAGGAAGGGAGGAAGAGGGAACTGGGATTGATATGTAATATTAAAAAAAAAGATTGATAGAAAAAGAACAGAGTTTTACAGATGAAATCATTTGAATATATGTAGGCCACAGTAGCAAAAGGCCTCATACACAAGATGGGCAAAGTTTACAAAACTCCACAGAAATGTGTCCAGTTAAAATAGCAGGAGTGCAGCATGACAGTAACTATGTACAGCTGAGGAGGAAGGAGAATGGAAGGATAATCAAACAGGCTGGAGCAGGATGAAGACAGCTCTATGACAAGTTGAGACGTTGCACTTTCTGACCCCATCCCTCCCCCCCCCCCCAAAAAAAGATGATTTTTAAGAAGTTTCTCAGGCACTACCTGAACAAATAGAATTAACAAAATCAAACAAAAACTGCTTCCCCCTCCCGCCCCCCAATGTCAAGAATTTTTAACTTAAAATTTGTATCTTCTCTACAAATGACTCTGACCATTAGCAGGCTTCTCATTGGCTGCTGCCTCTCACTAACATCCTGCGCTAACAAAGTTATACCCTTTAGGCTGAGCTTCACCACCCTCAGAGACTCTATCCATACCGAATCTTACCAAGTTATTAGACTTGCTCATCTGTCCAGAAATGAGTGTTTGCTTCCAAAAATGGAAGAGCTCATCTCTTAATTTATGATTAGAAACGTGCACATGTACATATCGTACAGGTGAGTATGCAGGGCATGGCTCATCTGTGAACTTATACGTCAGTTATCTCTTTCCACCGTCACATGGGTTCCGGGAACTAAACTCAGGTCACTGTGCATGCTGGTTAGTTTTTATTGTCAAGTTTATACAATCGAGTCACCTGGAAAGGAGTCTCATTTGAGGAATTGCCCAGATCAGGCGGACCTGTGGGGGACTGTCTAGATTGGTCATTGATGTGGGAGGGCTTGGTGCCCTGTTGTGTGCAGTCTCACCTCTAGGGAGATGGGCCTAGGCAGTAATAAGAAGCTAGATGAAAAGGAGGCTCACACCCCAATGGATGGCCCCCCGCATCTATCTCATACCGGAAGCACTAATCAGACCAGAGGACCACTAATAAACAACAAAAAGCCCATGAAGTTGGATAACAAAATGCAGGGCACTGAGGGCATTTGTTGTGGAATAATATTTTAACTATGTAAAGATGTGTTACTTTTGTTTACGCTGAAGAATATTACTTTAATTGTACAAAGGTGTGTTACATTTGCTTACGCTTCATTTGTTTAATTATGAAAAGATGCATTGTATTTGTTTCACCTTGCCTGCCTAAGATATCAGATTGGTCTAATAAAAAGCCAAATGACCAATAGCTAGGCAGGAGAGAGACAGGCAGCGCTGGTGGGCAGAGAATAAGGAGAAGGAGAAATCTAGGCTCGAGAGACAAGGGAGAAAAAGAGGGACATGCCCGAGGGCTAGAAGCCAGGCATCCACCAGCCAGCCATGGAGACAGCAGCAAAGTAAGATAAACAGAAGGGAAGGAAGATAAAAAGGCCCAAGGCAAAACTTAGATGAAAAGAAACAGGATAATTTGAAAAGCTAGTGAAACGAGCATACAAAACATTCACAACTAATATTAACTCTGTCATGATTTGGGAGCTGGTTGGTGGCCCAAAAGAAAGCCAGCTACAGGTATTAGAAGGGGACAATAGTGAATTGATATAAAATCAAAATATATAAAAGTTTTAATTAATAAATACAAAGCATTATAGAAAGTGTTTCACATTTTTTTTTTTTAATGTGTCTAGCAAAATGCTGGCAGAGGGACTGAATCAGCAGTGTTCTTCCATGGTTTCTCCTTTTGGTTTTTCAAGACAGGGTTTCTCTGTGGCTTTGGAGGCTGTCCTGGGACTTACTCTGTACATCAGGCTGGTCTTGAACTCAGAGATCCACCTGCCTCTGCCTCCCAAGTGCTGGAACTAAAGGCGTGCACCACCACCACCCGGCCCCATGGTTTCTGCTTCAAGTTCCTGCCCTGATTTCTTTCCCTCAAGGACTGTGACCTGGAAGCATACGATGAAATACACTCTTTCCTCCTCAAGTTGTTTTGGTCAGTGTTCACCACAGCAACAAAAACAAACTCGGGCACCAGTCACACGGTGAATTCCTTTACCCACTGAGCCCGATGACCGTTGCATTCGTTGTCTTGTGTTTACTACTGGCTGGGAGCTGGGCAGCACAGGAAATACCTGAGAGCAAAAGAGTGGTAGGCTTTAGGTCTTAGAATATTTGCTAATGTGTGACTACATCTTGAGGAAGGGACCAAGTCTGTGCATTTATGTTTCATAAATACTCGTCGTACATATCCTGGGCTAGTTGTATACAATACTTTCAGTGTTTTGATTGTCACCCATCACAGGGCAAGTAAGGAATTTTCTATTTGTTATATCATGCTAGTGCTCTGAACACTTCAGATTTTAGCGCATTCTGGATTATGGATTTGGGAAACACTTCTTATCTAATTAAGTTACTCAACTTGAAATAAAAGTATTTTCCTTTAAACAGAAAGAAATTCAAATTAACTGTAAACTTGCCAAAATGTTAAGAAAAAAATATTTAAACATCCAACTACGTGGTAGATGTAGGATGCAATACAGTTAAAAATACAATTCTAGTATTATAAACATAAATGTTCATGTATATTTCATACACACTCCCCATACATACCTTGAGGAAATTTTATGTAACACTCTTAAGAGTTCTGACTGTTGTCCATCACAGGAGGTGATCTGGCTGTCACCCATTTCTAGCAGTACTTCATATTCAAGGAAAAAATGACGCCACAATTTATTGAATTGAAAACATGTTTAATATAAAATGCTGATGTCCTCAAATCATTATTTCTACATGAATTTAGGAAAACAAATTTTAAACAGTCTCCAAAACATGATGAAGGACAGTGGTCTCTTTGAAAAACACATAAACAAAGTTCAGAAATCACAATGTATCTTGTATACTTGCTTTCCAAAATTAGATGTAAAAATGATTAACAGCCACTTTTAAAAAAAAAAGTTTCTCCCCAACACACATTAAACTGGGAATGAAATATGCACTTTCATGTGAAATCTCCAAAACCCATGTATCTTGACCAGTGCAGAGAGAGAGAGAGACAAGATCAACAGAAGCTGAGGGCCTAAGGCTAACCCACAATTCCTGTCACTTGATTTTGACATAAAACCTTCAGGTTGCTTAGTTTTATCTTAAATTGCCTTTGTTTCAAATGCTTTACACATGGTATAATTGTTATAACAGTCTAACAGTTATAAACTGTAACAGCAAGAGATGTTTAAACTAATATTCTAAAATCCATTATCTGAGAAAACAGTATGATCATGTCCCCCTCAAAATATTTTTGATAGCATAAGATTCTAAAATGGTTAATAGATAATACCACCATCATCACACAAATTCAACAGAACTGTCACCTGAATATTTAATAAAATATTAAGTGCTGAGATCCCTGGGGATCACACATCTTTAAAAACTATAACTTAAGAATATAAAAGAAATGAGAAATCTGGTTTTGCAGATGAATAATGGGCAACCAGACTATAAAATAACATATCTGGTTCTAAATAATAAATAGAAGTTTAAAGGTATTCTCTTTGTTAAAATTATGAGGACACTAATTTTATCTCTTCTAGACACTGTGTACACACATTTTGGGGTAATGGAGGAATGAATATTTATATAGCTATACATCAAATTAACAAAGCTTAGCTACATAATTTTTTTAAACTTATTTGGTACATAAAATTTGTTCCACGTTTTCTCTGAATAAACTCATCTCTCCGACCTCTATTGACGGCACTGAGTAGGGCAGGGAGACTGCGTTTAGCAATTGAGAATAATAAGCTGCACTTTGAAAGGGTAAAGTTTTATCTAATGGTATTTTTTTTTTCACACTATACAGAAGGGATGCCTTGAATGGCATTTTCTGAAGCCTTGATACTAAGTCCTTTTTTTAAAAAAAAAAAAAATACACAGTATTCATACTGCATGCTTGAGCTGCAAAGGATAGAATTACAATACGATGTGACTCGTCAACAAATCTGACAAGTCCTGGGGCTGGCACCAGGGAGAACCCAACTCCCATCAGCACCCAGTCATGTGGAAGTACAGGTCACAGAGCTTCATTACTTACGAAAACATTCCCACATTACATACGCTTTTGCATAATCCAAGCATATTTAATCATAAAAATATACTTATGAAACTTTAATTTCTATAAGTGCTTCCATGACACCTTCAGCTGTGAGAGCCCAGCAACTCAAACAAGATACCACATACATTTCAACAATATATGAACTACGGCAAGTTACTTCCTTCTCCGTAAGCTGACACAAATGCTGGTAAGCGGCTTTCCAGTAAGCTTAGAGAGCATGCGCCATGTCTGCACAGATTAGCTGCTACTGCTGCCCTGCTGTTGCTGTAAATGAAGCTTCAAAATGAGCTCTCGGATGTCTTCCCGCTTGGTCTTTATTACATGGCGAGGAAACCATTTCTCCAAGTGAATTGGGAGTTCAAAGTTAACAATGGGGTCCTAATAAGAGAAAAGAAAGAATGCTGTCAATGTGACATCATCATTTCATGCTTTATTTTTTAATCTCAGGTTTGTAGGAAGAGAAAAATGATACCTCTCAGAAATCACCGGCTTGTTGCACAGCATACCACAGCACTCACATAAAGCACACAATTAGTTTTCAGTTTCTCAACAGGGTAACCATGGCCAAAATCAATTTTAGAACATTTTCATTAAACTGCTAACTTTTGAATGTTAAAAGTAAATAGTCTACTCTGTTACTTGCATGTCAGCATGGTTATAATTGGTAAAGACTGACTCAGCAGACCTCAGAAGTCAGATTGCTGTGAACACATGTTAATATTATTAAACTATCATGGAGAAAACCCTGGTGATTAAGATTTCCAGAATTGTAAACATGGAGAATCCCATTAAAAGTCATCTTTTATTGTAAGACACAACTTCCAGACAGCTATGTTTCCATGGTATTAATTTAATGGCAAAGTTGTTGCAACTATGAAGTTATTTCTCCTTGCATTTAACTTGTTTTTAGTTGCTAAGGAAGGGTACCCTTGCCTGGTGTTTATTAATTTGAAGAAACTGTTAGAAGGCTAATGTAACCTTACACCTTGGAGAAGACAGAGTGAGAGCGTGGGCTGACTGTAATCTTCAGATAGACTCACTAAGGGCCAGTGCCTACTTGGTTATTTACTGCTTGGTATTTTTACTGGAATTCGCTTTGTTTTCTTTAGGGAAACTCAGTGGTCCCTCAAGCCTCTGTTTTTAACCTGGTCAATGCTATATTAGTACACAAATCTACAAGACACAGATTTAGAATTTTTAGCTTCTAATTCTACATGGTGATTCTGTATTTAACATATAGTCTGTTGACTGAGGCTACCTGAAATTGCAAGTATGTAACAAAGGAAGAATATATCACTAACAAGACCTGCTGGATATTCTAAACCTTAAACCAAACTCTGCTTGGAAACAAAACTAGAGGACCAGCTGTCACCACGTAATGAAATTCCAATGTGGAATACCAGGGGGACTAATTAACAGTTACATGATAATTTCTATAATATGCAACATCTTTCACTGTGCACGGTCTTCCTCCCAATATTACAGACAAGGTAAAGTCCTAACTGTAGAAGAGAATTCTCTAAAGAGACTTGTGGTCAAAAGGTATCTTCCTAAGTGATACATACTGTGAACTAAAGGATCTGCTGAAAAGGCCACAATCCCCACCACTTAAAGACCTGCCTTTAATGTTGCTACATTCCAATAAAGTCCCTATGAATTAGAAAATAAGAGCCATGCTTCTAATTGTTTCCTCCCCTATGATGCCCTGAGCTTCTTAAGTAAACTGGCATTTTTGCATTTGGAAAATTTTCTTTAGCATTTTATCTGCCCTACTTGCTCCTTCACTAAGCCTTCTGAGACTCCAATTATATGAAAATGAGACCTTCATCTTATTGCACTCGTCTCTTTACATTCTCACTCCAGAACTCCCTCTGGACACTTTACATTCCAAGTTCTCTAACTCCGCTATTCTTCTGCTGTATCTGGTGTGCGGCCAACCTGCATCCCTGAGGTCATGTGCACCCCAGGATAGCTATGAATGCAGCACCACACACAGGATAGTGTCGTCATGCTGCAAAAGACTTATGTCAAAGGCTAGGAAGCCCCGCATCCCACCTAAATGAGGATGTTATCCTTTTCAGTGAGAGTTTCTCTATTTTCTCATCCTCTTGGCTCAGCCACCTAATCACACAGGCATACACACATGTACCCCCACATTAAGAACTCCATATAATAAAACAAAGAAAAAGATTGTGTGTGTGTGTGTTTGTCTATAAAATACTGTATCATACACATAAAAATAATTACTACTGGGAGATAACTTATTTCACAATCTACATAGAGTAGTTAAGATTGGTAATGCATGAAAGAAATGAACATGACAATAAAAGTAGCACTCTAAAAGCACAGAAATAAACAGTAATAACACGGATATGATGCTATGCCTCAATACTTAAGCTAGCCCATACGTGATAAGTTACCACCATTGAATATCATGCCCAGCCTTTAAAAGTCCATCCTCAACAGTAATATCCAAACCTTCTCACCAAAGCTTGGTCTTATTCTTATTCCTTAACTGGTTAATTATTATATATCTTTTATTTTTGGCAATTTTGGGAAATAAATAACAACTGTGAAGTTCTAAACTTTCATTTGTAATGGAGATAATGTCATAATATACCTTGAGAAATTATTAAAGATTTGAAGATGAAAATAAAATTTCTCTAATCCCTATAAAAAGTTCTTAATAGACTGTTGTATGTTTTCAACTCTAGAATGTTCATTTGATATTTTCTGTATTTCACATCTTCTCCCATTTTGTTCATCTACAGCTTTATGTGGTTTAATATAATAACCAGATAATTGTAAACTTCTCAGATTCCCTATCTAGGTCATGTGTGGCCTCCATTCTGTATGTTCTTGCCCACATTTCCCTGCCTCTTCATAGCCAGAGAATGGTAACTCTTAATTACAAGAGGCAGCTGCATGTGCACATACCTGAAAGAAGCTTTCCACATACTGCAGTAGATAGACTCCGCAGTCACTGCTATTATCCTGCTTCGGGACTTTAGGACACAGGTCTACCATGTTGGTTTTACTGAATTCACGGTGAGTTTTTCGCTTAACTTCCCACTCAACCTCTAAATACCTGAAATAATCAATAAGTAAAGTGGCTTGAGTGGAAACCTGGGTCAGTCTGCAACACTTTCTACAAGGGGAGGAAACATCTCCTTTACAAAAGCTGTTGCTTCAAATTAAATTCTAAAGACACAATTTCAACAATATAATTGTGACTCATGAGCCCTCACAAATGCCACTGTGAAGAAAGTCATGTGATTTCAACTAAAACCTAGTTTTTTAACAACTTAATGTTCACAATTCAGATAACACAAAATTATTTATATTATGAAGTAAGCTGAAGTGGCCTTTAAAATGTGTTTGTTTGCAGCCTCTATATTAAATTTGAAAATTCCTCGATAGCGCCAACTGGTAAAGGCACTTTCTATCAAAGTTTCTGGCTGAGAAGCCTCACAACCTGGGTTAGATCCCCAGGACCCACATGGTGGAAAGAGTCAACCAATCCCACAAGCAGTCTTCTGACCTCCACACCTTGGCCTAGGCACAAGTGTGCCACCATCCCACAACCTATCTGCAAGGTTCTAAAGTTTTTTATAAAACGATCCTCTTTCTCTTTCTCTCTCCAAATACACACAGACATTCACAAACAGAAATTTACAGGTTTCTACTTTCTTTTCAGGTTTTATTTTTGATAATCACTAATATCTGCAATGTTGTATAACATTATGGTTTTGTTTGATTACAAATAAAAATTTTGAATTTACCCTTGACAAATGTATATCCTTCACTATTAACACATAGTAGAGAATGTTGTTGGCAACCAGATTTTCGGGTTCATTTAAGTTCATGTTAAAAACATAATTACTGCCAGGAAGTGGTGATGCACACTTTTAATCCCAGCACTGAGGAAGCAGAGGCAGGTGAATCTCTGTGAGTTTGAGGCCAACCTGGTCTACAGAGTCCCAGACAGGCTTCAAAGCAATACATAGAAGCCCTGCCTCAAAAAAACAAACAAAAACAACAACAAAAAGATTACTAACATGGTGTCATAAATCTCTCGTTTCATGGTAGCCAGACTCTCACTGTTATAGTCCACTGTCCATCGAAGCCAACATTGAATTTATGGCCCTCTTGCCTGTTTGGCTGCAACACCTTCTCTGAGTGCTAATGTTATGCTACCCAACCCCACTTCTCCAGGACTGTTTCTAGTAATACTTGCAGTTGTTTCAGAAGTGCTGAGGTTTTAGATAATAGACTGAATGTGAAAACTGTCATTACTTACTCTCGCAAATTCTGAACTGTATTTTGTATAGAAGCAGCTTTCAAGGAGTCTAGTATGAGAATACACGGCCTTTAAAACACAAAGGAAGAAATCAAGATGTACAGACTTAAATAAAGATGAATACCAAAGTACAAAGAAACAAAGAAAACAACCAGGGCTTGTGAAATAGTTTATCAAGTAATTCCCTGATAAGTCTCATGACCTGACTTCAGTAGAGAACCACCAAAAGCTGCCTTCAAACCTATACACACACACACACACACACACACACACACACACACACACAAACATATACATGCCACACAAACATGCACACATATACACACATACAAACATATACACATGCACACACACATACATACACACACACACACACACACACACACACACTAAATAAACAAAATTGAGGACTGAAGAAATGTCTCTTTGGCTCAGAGCACTTGTTCTTGCAGAAGATATAGGCTCAGTTCCCAGCATCCAGATGGCAGCTCACAACTGTCTATAACTCCAGTTCCAGGGAATCCAACACCCTCTTCTGACTTCTGCAATGACACCAGGCACACATGGGGTACACTCTACACATGCAGGCAAAACATTCATACACATAAAATAAATCAATATTGAACAATACATATATAATTTTCAAGCCTTTACATTATTATTATCATCATCATCATCATCATATGTACTTACCTTTTACACATTTTCTTTGGTACTGACATATTCACCTCGGTACTCTGAAATAACATGAATTTTTGTCTTTGCAATTTAAGCTAGTTTAAATACATTAGTAGCCACTTATTCCTTAAAGTGTTTCAAATACTGAAATTAAACTTTCAAGTAAAATATTTTTCTTCAGTTAGCTTCAAAATAAATCAAACTAACTGCATTTTCCAAAACTCACTGACTGATAACACTTTCACACTGCAGTCATGGAGATGCTTTAACCTGGCCTATGCAATACCATAAATTTTTATCTTTATTCATTTTATTATCGTAAAGACAAATAAGGGAATTTGTGTCTGCACATTTTCTACAACTCAATTGAGGCTGTAGAGACATGTTTCTTCCTTTGAAGCACAAGAAATAGTTTTTTTTTATTTTTATTTAAATTAAACACAATCTTATTTTACATACCAATCCCAGTTCCCTTTCCCTCCTGCCCTCTCATTCCCCCCCCTACTAACCCTCCCCCATCCTCAGGGAGGGTGAGGCCTCCCATGGGGGATCACCAAAGTCTGTCACATCATTTGGGGCCCTCCCCTGTGTGTCTAGGCTGAGAGAGTATCCCTCCATAGAGAATGGGCTCCCAAAGTCCATTCGTATACTAGGGACCAATACTGATCCACGACCAGAGGCCCCACAGGTTGCCCAGGCCTCCTAACTGACACAGTTTCAATGTGCACTTGATCTGAGACAGGTATTTATCTATGTTGAGAGGGAAAGCACTAGCAATTGTGAGCTTTGCTACAATGGTTTTATTCATAAATTCCTGGGAGAGTAGATCAAGCTGATTCCTAAGACCATCTTAGTGCCATTATTTTTCTAAAGCACACCATGAATCTCTAAGAGAGGAAGTTGACACAAACTAAATATATCAGAAAGAGTGGTAGCTTCATGTTCTTTCCCAAAAATTGTTGAAATACTCAGAAAGGAGCACAATTTAATTAGGAGTCTAATACCCATCTCCATCCGCTTAGGCAGGCCCTATTTATAGTTAACATTGTCATTGTTAAGAGTTCCCTTCTCCACATCTGGACAGAACACACTTACTTGGGAATCCTCTGCACTCGTGGATGCTGTGGAAGTGGTTCGTGGGTCATTGTCTAACAACAAAGAAGTCACTGTGAGTCTTTATTGTGTTAACAGATAATTTAGATAATCTGAACTTCAAGAGGTATCTACAGAACTAATTAAAAAAAAAAAAAAACTTAGTCAATGGATAAAACTGGTTAAGGGTTGGCTGTTATCATATAATATAGAAGAAACCTCAGAACCAAAACCTGAAATACAAATTGGCTGGGCCCATTTCCTACCAAAGGGGTATTTTTTTTTCCTTATTTTACATATCTTCCCAGTTCCTTCTCTGTCCTGTCTCCCTCTCTCTCTTCCACCCTCCCATGCCCCCTGACCACCCTCCCATCCCCCCCCCATTCCACAGGGAGGGTGATGCCTTCCAGGAGGGATCAACAAAATCTGTCAAGTCATTTGGAGTAGGGACTAGACCCTCCCTCCTGCCTCTAGGTTAAGGGAGTATCCCTCCAAAAGTCCTTTTGTGCACCAGAGATACATCCTGGTTCCACTGTCAGAGGTCTCTTAGACTGCCCAGGCCTTCTAACTGAGACCCATATCTTCAAAACCAGCAAACTAATAAAGATGAATGTGTTAATGTGGGGAGTAGTTAACACCTCATGCCATGGTTCTCAAGCTTCTGAAGCTCAAAGGGCTCAGAAAGGATAGAAAATAAACAGGTATCCCCGGTTTTTCCCCATCCCCTCCCCAGATTCTGGACACCATGAGTGAGGAAAGCTACTACCAACTTTCCTTGCTATTTAGGTTACAGTTACAAAACAATTTTTTTATCGATTTCTCAAATGGGCTCATTTGCTAACTTAAAATTTGATGTCCCAAGAAAATTATAGAAGAAATATGAGCTACTGTGTTGCCTCTGAATTACTTCTGTATGAGAAGTATTAAATTAGAGACTTAAAGCTATGCATGAAGAAGCATACCATGAATTCTGAGTCATGTTAGCAAGGCTAACATTCTCTTAAAATGCTACAATAAAACTTAGCATCAGCAGTATGACTTTGGAATTACATTTTGTATAATGCTGGGTGTCGTGAGAATTTCAAAACTTTTGTATTCCTTTTAATAAGTTTAATAACAAATAGGTGAGCTGTTAACTTCATATTGTTTCCCTTAACCTGCTTATCATTGTGATAATTATTAATAATTTCTGTCACCTGCTGTTTTGTTGTCATGTTGAGATTGCTGGTCCTGGGACATGGTTTGTGGAAAATCTTCATACACAGCTTCTTCTAACCACGGAAAACAAATGACGGCGAGATACCAGTGAGACCTGTTGAAAAGAACTGTAATCTTAATAACACGCCAAACCTATACAATGTAAGAGAGTCTTCTAAAGCTGCATCTGTGACAGTGGATATGACAAACTTCTCACTATGAAGACATCCACTACAGCATCTCATGTAAGATGGAGCACACACTCCACACCAATAGCCACCATTTACCAAGGCCATAGATAAATGTTTGTGATAACTGTCTGAATAATGCATATGTTACTGACCTGCATACATTCAGTGCTTTCTTTTCAAGATCTCTATTAATAAACAGACTAATAACATTACTTTTTTGTATTATAACTTAAGGAATGTATTCTCTTCTGATAGTTTTAGTTTATAAAATATTTCTTAAAACAAAAAATCAGTTGCTTTGGTTATTACAACATTGGAGAAATCTGTCTTATATGCCCATAATTTTTATTGATTATACCTCAAATATTTTCTCAATCAAAAATACTCACGACTCATTTACAGGTACAAAGATGTAGTCTTTATTAAAAATGTTTATGTGACGAGTCCATGTTCTGACTCTTTTATGTCTTCTCTGAGCCATCCTGGGAATATGAAAGACATGTAGATTTATTTTAAAAGTTGTAATTGAAGTCATAGAACTAAAAGTGTCAAAGTCCTTAAGTTATGGAATTAAAAGTCATCTTTTACACTGAAAATACGAAGTTTAGTAAACCTCCATCTTCAAAGTATATAATTTAATGCAGCAGAAACTTTTGATTCTCTTCCATCTAATTACCATGAATACTAGTGGAATGAACGATAAAGGCAGCACATTGCCAAATGCTTTGTAAATTCCAGAGCAGCTGAGCACAAACACCCTCAAACCTAACCCTTTCTGCTTTGTTCCACTTAAGGACTATGTAAAGTATCGCCAAACCTTAAGGAAATTACACAAGTGTTCTCTCTGTGGTAAGTATTAAAACCTAATGGAGAAGAAGAAATGAGTTTTTTGTTTTGCTTTGTTTTGTTTTAATTTTAAAATGTAAACTTCATCTACCTTCATTTCACACAAAAGGCAATTACAGGAGAAGGATGTGTATCTACTGATCCTCATCCACTTCCCTTTTAACTTCTCTTCATCTATTCTATGTTTTGCCTCAGGGCTTTTACCTTCCTTTTCCTTCCCCCCCCTCTCTCTCTCTCCTTCTCTCTGTCTCTCTTTCTCATATCCCCCCCCCTACTTGATGGCTGGCCCTGGAGACCTCCCTCTTTTTCTCCCTCATTCTCTCCTTCTCTCCTCTCGAGCCTAGATTCCTCCTCCTACTTACTCTGCCTGCCAACCCTGCCTATCCCTCTCCTACCTAGCTATGGGCCTTTCAGCTTTTTATTATATCAATCAGGTGTCTTAGGAAGGCAAGGAAGCACATATTTACATTGTTTAACAAATGCAGCATAAACAAATGTAATACATCTTTGCCTAGTTAAACAAATGCAACATAAACAAATGCAACACACCTTTACATAGTTAAAGTAATATTCCACAACACCAAGTACTGAATAAGTCACTGGAGATGGTCTCTGACCTCACAGGAAACAAAGATAATTGGAAAACAACATAATTATAGAGCTCTCCCTGCGAAACACAAGCGCTAAAAAAGATTTCAGGAGAAGATATGGAAGAGCTGAATATATCTGAAAACTGAGAAGAGGTAGGTTGACTATAGATGAGTAAATGTTGTGAAATACATTTAGGGAGAACAGAAAAATGCAAACTTGCATAGTAATGAGTGTGTATGTCATTTATCCTACAGTTTGCTTAACACTAGCAATTTGGACCTTTTGTTATGAATTGATACTAAAATGTTTCTCTCTTGTTGCATTGCTTTTAGATTATGTCTTTTAAAAACTACTTTGTAGGGACTCTTTTGTGAATACTAATTATTAAGATATACACACAAACTAAGCATCAATAGGGGGCATGTGTGTGTGAGTGTATGTGTGTGCATGTATGCCTATGTGTTATCTCATTATCCCTACACTATAATATGCCATTTGTGTAACATTGTTATTATTTATATGTATGATCAGATAAATATAAGCTAGCTTTTTCAAACCTAGCAATAATACAACAGAATCTACCTTTCCCCTCCTCACACTGAAGTATGACAATTTACGTACTAAGTTATCATGCCAAGCCCAGTATCATCATTTTTAAGGCAATTACAATTCCTATGCTGTAATCTTATAATGTGGGGGTCACTTGCAAGATCCCAATTATTAATTTCTGCATACACAAAATAGAACTGCAGGGCATAAGAAATTATAAATAAAAAAATTAATCAATAACAGTTTCCTTCTGTATGTCTTCTCCTAAGCCTGATTATCAAAAATCTTTTCAAGCTGGATTTTTCTCTTTGATTCTAAAAGTCCTTACCCATCAATACAAGACCTAAGCCAATAAAGTCACTTAAAGTTGATCATAATCCTAGTTTGTCTAAGACAGCCTCAGTATAGATTAGTTATCCAGTGTATACTATTAAAAGAACCTCCTGTTATTTTCATAAATGTCCCAACATAGACCATAAATTATGTTACACCACTACAAACAACAGAAATAACTAAACTTTGGAGCTTGAAAACTATGTATAACTAACCTAATTTCTTTAGTTTCTATTAATAAAGATTATTATAAATAATCATTTATTTTACATTACTATAAATTATTATTTACCTTACAAAAATATTAGAATTAAATTTAAAAAGCATATTCATTTAACCATCATAATCATTATTTCTAATGTTTGACTTTTAAATTTTTATTGTGGATTTATGTGCATGTGTGTGTGGTTACATGTGCACATGGTGCGCATGCCATGGCACCTGTGAGTCAGAAGACAACCGGCAGGAATAGGTTTTACCCTTTTACTACATGGCCTTGACATGGGCCTTGTCTTTACCTGCTGAGTTACCATGCCAAGCCCAACATCATCATTTCTAAGGCATTGAAAATGTTGAACTAAAAATTAAAAATAAGTATTTAAGTGCAAGCTTACTACTCCCTAGCCATTTGTCCTTTTCTAAATATTCAATCCTTGATTAGCCCATCTAAAGAATTAGGATAGGGGCTGGAGAGATGGCTCAGAGGACCAGGTTCCAAATCCCAGCACCCATATGGCGGCTCACAACTGTGTGTAACTCCAGTTCCAGGGTATCTAATGGCCTCCTCTGACCTCTTCAGGCACTGGTATATACAGAAATACATGTAGACAAAGAATTGGGAATATACTTTATGGGTCCTATGTACCTAAAAGCACTGTAATATGAAGGAAAAGAGAAATGAACAAAAAAAAATGTTCATTTTTTTTAATAAGGTAGAACACAGATGTTTAAAAAACAAAAAAGGCTCAGATATCTATTCATTGGGTTCTAATATTCTAATACAAATTGCTGGTCCTGGAGCAAGGGTGTGTGAAAGTCTATGCTACAATAACTGAGTTTCTACTATCTAATAAATAGTAACCACTTCTTCATTTTTGCCTACTCTTATCCATTACTCAATAGTTTTGATTCTTAATTAAAAAAATTAGTTTAAAAAGTACTGAATAGAGAAATTTAGCAAAATTGTGCAAATAAGAACGGTTTTCATTTATGTTACACTAACTTAATAAAATAGCAGCATGTCAGCAAGGAACTAACCAGAAAAACAAACAAACCACAGCCCTACATCTCTATAACAGAGTATAATGCTGGAAAAGTACACATTTTTAAAAGGTCAGTGAGGCAGAGATTAGCATGGTGGGCTCTGCACTAGTCCTAGGGTGGACAGCAAGGAGAGCAGCAGTGCCCCCAAGTGGAAGCTAAAGGGCCAGCAACCATGTCCAGTAAGAGATACATCAGAGGAAATACGTTCTGGTAATCATTTTCACAGCAAAAATGCTACGAAAGGAAATGTCTGGCTTTTTTTTTTTTAATTCCTTGCTCTCTTAACTTCTAGTACCTGCAACTGGAGATGCAGCCTGCAAGAACCAGCCTCCCTCTTACTGAACTGAAAGGATAAGAAATGGTTCTCACAGCTGACAAACCAGTGACCTGCAAAAGTGTTAATATGTTTGCTCTCAGGATTACAGCAATGAAGACACTTCACTAGGAGCATGGAAACAGGAGTCTTCTTTACCTTAAAACTTAAAAGAGAACTGGGATCGACATGTAAAATAATAAATTAAAAATAAATAAAAATAAATAAAAAAATGCTTTGACTTCAAAATTTAAGTTCAAGGACAAGTTACTGGGGAAAAGGATTTCTATTTTTGTTTCCACAGAAAATGAAAAATGGTGGATTCCTTCCAGACTAATGTGGTTTGATCAAGCCAGACCACCTGAAACAGAGTACCAGGTGATCCTACATTCAAAACAGCTGGACAAAGCAGCCTTGCAGACTACAGCCAGATTTCTGCATCTTCTTAGAATCCCCCATGACAGCGACCCTTACCAGCAGGAAGTAGTTTGGAAAGAACGACGCCCAAATTTCCAAATATTGTCTATAATTTGTTTTCATTTAAATGGACTTGTTTATAAAAAATAAATAAAAAAAATAAAACTTAAAAGAGTTAAACAGATGGCTCAGTGGTCTGTGGCACCTGCTGCCAAGCCTGATGGCTTCGTTCAATCCCTAGGACCCACGCGGGAGAAGGAGAGAATGGTACCCCGACCTTCACAAATGCACCCATACACACGCAATAAATTCCTCTAAGACCTTAATTGCATTAGACTGACTTACGAGAGATCTGGATTGTCTTCTGTTAAATTGTTTTCCTTTCTTGTCAAGCACTTATAGAAAAAGCTACTAAAAATGTGGCTTCGCTCAACAAGTTCATCTGAAGCCTTCTCCAGTAGAAGATACCTGTAAAGTAGCAAGCCCACAAAGTAAATTGTGATTAGGTTTTACCTCATTTTCTCCAGATACCTTTTTAATATATATATATATATATATATATGTATATATGTATATATGTATATGTAAATATATATATTCATGTACTTTGTGCATATAAGTGCTCTGTCTTCATGTACACCAGAAGAAAAAATTCGATCCCATTACAGATGGTTGTGAGCCATTATGTGGCTGCTGGGAATTGAACTCAGGAACTCTGGACGAGAAGACAACTGCTCTTAACCACTGAGCCAACTCTCCAGCTCTTCAGTTACCTTTTATGAACTAGAAATTACTGTTACATACAGTTAAATTCAAAGAAATCTTGCATTTTTCTATTACTTGGGCTTTAGTTATCTCTTGCCTTTCAAAACAACCACTTAAAGTAGAAATTGTCCACTTATTTAATAAGTGTTTACCAAGCTCCTAACACGCATTAAGTGCCACATTTACACTAGAGACACAGTAGAAGGGTAGCATCTGCAACCTAGAGAAGTAAAAATAGGAGGAAATGTTGACCAAATAATCATATGAGTGTGATTCAAGTAAGACTATGACATATATAAATCTAGAAAACATTTAGTAAATGGACTCTTCCTTGCTTACATTCCTAATACATTTCCATAGTAAAAAAAAATTCTTCAGTGGAAACTTTGCAATTCAATCACTGAGTGGTTATATCTTTCATAATCAAAAAATTGCTTTTCCCGGTAGTCTAGTTCAGTTTTAATAGTTTAATAAATTCAGGCAGCCAGGCTGTGGTGACTCACGCCTTTAACCCCAGCACTTGGGAGGCAGAGGTAGGTGAATCTGTGAGTTTGGGGCTACAGAGAAACCCTGTCTCGAAAAAAAAAAAAAAACAAACAAACAAAATAATAATGTCAGACAGCTAAGCAGCTGAAGTACACAGATCAGAGCACAGGAAAGGAAAAAAGGGAAGAGACAGAGAGCTCAGGACAGCTTGCAGCTCCTCACATCTTCAGGGTAGCCTTGTCTGTGTGGGGTGTGGGTATGGGCGTGGGTGTGTATATGGAGGGATGGGAGTGAGTGGGTTTGGTGGGCATATAGGGGTATATTAGGGAAGTACTCAAGTTAGAGAAAATTTACCCAAAATAAAAACGGAATGGGAGCCAGAATTCACCCAGATGAAGAATGCCCTCTCTTCCTATAGGTAAAACTGGGCAATTCATGACAGAACACAGCACTCAGGGGAATCTCTCTTTGGTAACAGGAATCGGATTCTTGCCCTCATCTTAGCAAATGATAAAGATAGCTGTATCTTTAAGACAAGTCTTGAAACTATGAGACTATTTCCAGATAATGTAACTGTGTCTTAGAAAACTGAAATATTTATAGAAACTCAACAATACTCAATTGTCAGTAAAAATCATCAAACATGCAAAGCTACAAAACATGTAGCAGCAGTGGTACACTTTAATTCCAGCACTTGGAGAAGGAGAGGCAGGCAGATCTCTAAGTTCAAGGCCAGCCTGGTCTACAGAGTGACTTACAGGACAGCCAGGGTTACACAAAGAAACCCTGCCTCAAAAAAACCAAAACAGAGAAAAACCTGAAATTGGTATCAACTCATAATTTACACAGACCAAACAAAAATACATGAAATTATTAGAATTGTATTCCCATGTGTAATATATATATGGCACAAGTTGAATTTTTAAAGACTTTAAAGTCTATATCTATAAATATGTAATAATGTGAGATTCTGAGCCTTTGTGACTAGAACAAAATAAAATTATGAATAAAAATGAGTCTAAAATCATCTTTAAAAAATTAGATCCCTCAATCAAGTGTTAGAAATTTTTAGTGTACGGGTATAGTGCAAAAAGAAGGGTAAAAATAAATTTCCTTTTCACAAAAAGGCTTTGGGAATTATTACTGTTAATTAATTGTTTTGGGTTTTTTTATTTTAGATAGGATTTGTTTGGGATTATTAAGACAGAGGTGTACCATATAGCCAAGGCTGGCCTTGAACTTACAAGCCTTCCTTCTTTAGCCTCCTGGGTGCCAGGATGAAAGGGCTCTACCCAACACCTACATTGCATGGACTTAATTAAAGAGCTTTCATAGTTATTCCTTAAGCTTTTTCTATTTAACAAGCTAAATTTTCTTTTAATGTTTCTAATTTATTATGATTTTTTAAATTTAAATTTGAAACAAGCTTGTTTGTCATGTCAGTCCCAGTTCCCTCATCCACCCATCCTCCTCTGTCCCTCTCCCAACCCCCATCCCATGCCCTTTCTGCTGCCCAGGGAGGGTGAGGCCTTCCATCAGGAGTCTTCAAAATCTGTCATATCATTTGGAACAGGGCCTAGGCCCTCCCCCATGTGTCTAGGCTAAGAAAGTATCCCTCTATGTGGGGTGGGCTCCCAAAGTCCATTTGTATACTAGGGATAAATACTGATCCACTACCAGAGGGTCCATAGACTGCCCAGGCCTCATAACTGACACCCACCTTCAGAGGGTCTGGCTCGGTCCTATGCTGGTTTCCCAGCGGTCAGACTGGAGTCCATGAGCTCCCCATTGTTTGGGTCACAAGCTAACTTTTTTTTTAAGTTAAACATTTTACTGACATCTAGGTGACAGTTAACTGTTAGAGTACTTGAAGGTAGTCAGAAAGCAGTCAAGGAATGGAGGCATGTGAAGAACCATGCTGTGGGGACACTCCAAGAGAACACGAGCCTAGCGACTTATTTCTCCAAAAACACGGACTTGTTCTTGAAATGTGTTTGCATGTTCCTCCCATGTGCAGCAGGTGGGACTGGGTTTACTTCAGATTATTGCTTGCTGTTATTATTAAACTAAACTTTGAACTAGCCCTTATATATTCTCTAGAAAAACGTGTTTGCCACGTGTGGCTTTCCCTCGTGACTGTACACAGCCTGGCCTCTACGAAGGTGACCATTCTTAACCCTCAGAGTATAGACTGACTGATGCTCTGAATAAAGTTGGCTATTGCATGAGACTGCGGTCTGCCTTGTTTATCACCTTCATTCCTCAGGTCCCACGGCCTCTAGAGCAGCAACAAAAGACAACTGAATAGAGTTGTTTCTTTTCCGTCCCCAAAGTGTTTTGAGTTTTGTAAATATTTCCTTCACCACACTACACAGTGTTCAAAAGGTACACATCCAAAAAAAAAAAAAAACAACACATAAACACTAAGTAAAAAAAGCAAGCAGTAACTCATGTGAGATGTGTAGCATCTACAGATGGTAAGAAAATGCAACTGAATTTGTCAACCTCAGTAAAATTCTGGTAGGCAAAATGCTTTCTGAATCTAAAATCTTTCTAGGTTACTTTTAACTAGAATTGAAAATAGTTTAGATAAAGACACTTATTTTGAGGCATGGGTATAGCTCAATAGCAGAGTGCTTACCTATTATGCATAAGGTTGTAGGTTCAATTCCCAGCTTTCCTACTATACACAAGGCTCTAGGTTCAACCCCAGGCTTTCCTACTATGCACAATGCTCTAGGTTCAATTCCCAGCTTTCCTACTATGCACAAGCCTCTACGTTCAATCCTGAGTACAAGTGGAGGGAAAAAAGGCACTTAAAACCTATAAAACAAATAAGATAATTCCCGTACTTACTTAAGGTAAAAGTCAATGATTACATCGTTAAGAAATTCTCCTTCTTCTAAACACTCCAGATCTTCATTAGTTACTCCCAACCCCCCCTTGGTAGGTGGTGGAGGATAAACAATCAACCTTTAAAAAAATAAAGTTCAAATATAACCTACTATATTATATAAAATATACTTATATATAAAACATGTAATATATTTATGTAAGCTATATTAATATATTATTAATTAAAAGATTTCTCATAAAACAGCTACTAGACAGTAATAAAAATATCAAGACAAGACCAAATACACTTTGCTACATTTTCATAAATCTCCTGTGTTCCATTGGCCATTAGCTTTTCCTTTCCACTAACCCATGGGGCTAGTAACAGAAGACTGATGCCTAATACACGTCTAGAAAAAAGAGCACATCTTATGATCAGTTACAATGCCCTTACGGTCTTTTACATAATTTTTAACTTTCAACAACTGCTGTAATAAAGCAAAAATTTCCCAATGCTCCAATTTGCAATTCTAAATATGGATCTAAAATGAATCCTTTCCTGTTCAGGAAAGCCAGTGCTCAAAAACCATTCATTCTGGTGGCCAGAGGTGGGTACTGAAGAACTAATGTAAGCTGAAGAGAACATAAAGGAAATAATCAGGTCATAACGGGAGGACAAATGGCAGCTCAGAAGCATTCTCCTGGCACTCCCCCTTAAAAGTCAGAGAGAAAACCAGATGTGAATTCCAGGCGATAACCTTGGAATCATTAGGGCACTGTTTGATGGGCAAATGTAGTAATTTAATGAAGTTATAATGCTTATACCAAAAAGTGTCTTGAAACCAAGTGTTATCCACTGTTGATTTCATCTTGATACCAAAGTACTTAAACAAGAAAACTGAAATTTTAAATCTCATTTGATAGTTTCTATATAACCAGTTATTGCCTTATCCTGTACTTTCAACTCCTAAAAAAAAAAAAACACTCAAAGGTATAGAAGTAATCGCCAGTGTATAGAAAGAATACACTGTCTTGCCACAAACATAAAACATATAAAAGATAATCTATCAAACAGCACCTTTAAAAAGAGAGCTTAAATATACACCCAAAGTACCTAAACTGAAAAATATTTTAATAAGAAGATTCATTTCCTTATCATATGTTCATCTATAAGAAGTACAATTTCCAAAACCATAATTGCTATCCCAAGATTTTCAGTAAGCTCTTTAATGTTTCCAAATTGTGGTGAGTCTCTTTTTCATACCGACACAAAATTAAATTAAATAACACCTATTATTTTCATGATAACTTATATGTGCCTCATAAACAGAATTATTTCCATCACTAGCCAGGAGCATAAAAGTAAACTCAAAACATTTTAACAGGTAACCTGCTGAAAATGCACATCATAAGTAAAAGCAACTACTATAACACTGCTGCAAAGAGGATGGGACACAGCTCTTACTTCTGAACAGGCCTGGTATGCCTGACTTCTTGCCATTCTTCGTCTGGGCTTGAAGTAATAGAAAGTGAGTAGCAACCACTACTTTGTTTCTGTAGCAAAGTGTAAGTAGGCTTGATGGCATCTGAATTTGAGGGCTGAGAAAAAAAAAAAAAAGAGAGAGAGAGAAAACTCTCTTATAAGTACATAAAAACAAACATTAGTTTTAAAAAACACAGGTAAAATCTAGATTTGTAAATGAAAAAAAACGGACTAAAAGAAATGTGTATCAACGAGTAACATCTATACTTTTAAATCCGCTATACATATATAATCAAATGAAAAAAATTACTTTTATTGAAAGATTTCATATACAATATAAGGGCTAAAATTTAATCTAAAGTCCTACTTCCAGGTACAAATTCCACAATTAAAGAAGAATTTAAGATTGTGGTTCAAAATAATTGAACAGGTAGATAATACAAGGAAAAGATAAAATTTCAAATTAAAAGAGACTGGCTCATACCATAACTGACATTCTATTATTAAATGAAAAGTAATTTATAAGTTTATATATGCAATATAGTTAAGCTTTCTGCTTCACCTAACAGTATTATGGGTCTCTATGGGCTTTTTGAATAAAAGAGCCTTGAAACGCACTTATGTACATATCTGTGTGTGTGAACAAATGTGTTTGACATAGATAGCTACTTAAGAAATATTTTCCTTCTAGACATAAATGACAGTTAAAAGCCCCAAGTATTAATCAATCTACAAAAGGTATGACTTATATTTTACTTATTTACCAGTAACGTTATGTACATGTGCGTTTATGATGGAAACCCTTTTTTGCTCTCTTATGTACTCTGAACAAAACAGCACTTTAAACAATGAAAACAATCTTTAGCTCGCTACCCATCCTCAGTCAATTGCGTTAATCGTGTGCTGACCTGAGACAGTGACTTCCTCTTCATCTCTGCATCAGCAGCAACAGGAGAAGAGGGCGTGGAAACACAGTGGCAGTGAATAAAAGAGCTATCTTTCGAAGTCAGATCCTGAAACAAAGGTAATGCCTGAGCCCAAGACAACGGAGAAGAGAGTTCTGATTCTCCATTGGTCGTACTTATTTCCATCATAATATCTTTCAACTTCAATTCTTCTTTTTGTGAAACTGAGCTGTTTAACTCAAGGAAAATGAATTCAGTGGCTTTTGCTATAAAAGAAAAAAAAATCAAATTTTATCAATATTTGTAAAAGACAACTGTTATTAATCTAATTGTGAATAACAGTAATTTGGTTTTATGTAAAACTCAACCAAGTATTTTGTATGTTAAGTAATAACAGACAAGTTTAAATAGGCAGCTAGTAATCAAAAACCCAATTCACAATTTTTAGGCTCCTATTCTACTTCCCTGGAATTAAAATTCCAAATGATACTGACTGTCCCATTTGCTGTACCTGGCATTTAAAAGATGCTAGTAAGTATTTGCTTATGAGTGTATAAATGAATGAATAATAATCAAGCCATTATTTATTTTACTCTAACCTCCACCACAGATCCACCTATCAGCTAAAAAGGCATTCTGATTAACAACTCTCTTCCTTATTTTACCTACCATTTCAATAATGGTCACACACAGACACAAATATCAAGCCACCCATGATTACAAATGGCTCTTCATAATTCCACTGCCTCTTACTATCTAATTATGAGTTTCTCTGTTATGTGTAATTACAACAGGAAAATATTAATTTTATGAGTATAAAATTCAAATCCCTATAACACCTAGCATATATTTAAAAAAAAAAAAAAAAAGTAGGGGAGAGAATGAAATCAAAGCAGTAAGAAAAATATTACTAACTTTATTTACCTAATTCTAAACCAGATACCATTAGGAGTTGAAGAACCAAGCTAATATTTCAGGATACATAAATGTAGCTATGTATGTGCTATCAGATCACACAGAAAAGCACTCAACTCAAGTATTAGAAGTCTGATATGTACATAAGCTGAAACTAAGAAAACATAGAATATAAAATTATCTATTTACTTAACTTGACTATTAATTATGTCACAGTTTATAATGAAATAATGGGCAAAATCTCTTAGGAAAAGCAACCATGGATAATGTAACTTTCTCTAAAGTCACACTTTAGGCCATAAAGTAAGTCTTAACAAATACAAAAAAAGTAAAATAATTTCTTGCATCAGGTCCATCACAAGATGAATAAAACTATAAATCCAGAGCAAGAGAGAAACTCAAATACTTGAACACTAAACACTCTTAGTGACCAACCACTGGATCATTGAAGAAATCAGGCAGGAATGAAATTTTGAATTCCTAGAGTCAAATGAAACGAAAACACACCTTACCAGAACCAGTAGGATACTGCTGTTCTAAGAGTTTATAGCAATGAATTCTTACACCAACTTTTTTTTTTTTTTTAATCAGAAAGATTTCTGGAAACAAGAACAAGCCAAACCAAAAAGCAGTAGATGAAAAGAAATAAGGATCAGGGCAAACTTAATTAAATAGACAGTAACAGAACAACGCAAAGAGTCAAGGAAAGAGTTGGTGCTTAGACAAAATAAAGCCTGGGACTGGTGGGCTGCTTCCAGGGGTGAAGAAAGAAGGTTGCCACCAAGCCTGAAGACATGAGTTTATCCCCAGGACCCACACGGTAGAAGAAAATTGACACTCAAAAGGTGTCCTCTCACTTCCACACAGGCACTGTGGCACATCATGTGTGTGCACGCACAGGCATATACACCTGCATGGACATAAATAAATATAAAAACAAAGAAATAGGCTCAGAAACCCTTAGTCAACTTGATCAGAACAAAAAGAAGTCACAGATTACTAAAATTAGATATGAGAGGGGAACCGTTACAAAAGATATCAATGAAATCCAAGGGACCTTTAGGGAACACTTTAAAAATTCATTCTAAAATCCTGGAATAACTACACAAGTATGACTTGTCAAAGATAATTCAAGAAGATATAACATTAAAAAGAAAAAAAAGTAACAGGATGTATCACAAACAACAAGGTTGAAGAAATACTAAGGCATATCCCAAGAAAGAAAAGCACAGGACCATTCAGATTCACTGCCCTATTCTTCTAATAAGTAAAAGACCATTAAATAAATAATAAGTAAGTAAATAAATAAATAAATAAATAAATAAATAAATAAATAAATAAATAAATAAATAAATAAATAAGGAACAGGGTTGGAGAGGTGGCTGAGTCAGTTAAGAGTATTTTCTGCCCTTCCAGAGAAGTTGAGTTTGGTTCCCAATACACACCAAGTAGCTCACAACTACCTAAAACTCAAACTACACACTCTGTTGGCCTCCATGGGCACCTACACATACAAAGCACATAGACATAGACATAGACATAGACACACACACACACACACACACACACACACACACGAGGAGAGAAGGAGAGAAGGAGGGACGGAGGGACAGAGGGACAGAGGGACGGAGGGATTTAACACTAATGCTTCCCAGACAATTCCACCAAATAAAAAGGGAGAAGCAACACTACTCAATTCATTGTACAAAGCCAGGGTCACCCTGCTCTCAAAACCAGATAGGGGCACAACACACAAGAAAACTATACACCAAATTCTTTAATGAACACAGACATAAAATCACTTAAACAAATTCCTGCAAACTGAATTCCAGAACACCCTGATAAAACTCATATAACATGCTAATATTATCCCAGGGAGACAAGGATGGTTCAACATACGCAAATCAACAACTACAATCAAATGCATAAATGTATTTATGGGCAGAAATCACAGGATCACCTTAATTAGGGTAGAAAAGGCTTTGACAAAACAAAACAAAGCAAACAAACAAACAAACAAAGAAAAAAACTCAACATCCTTTTGCTTTAAAGAAACCAGTAATAAAAAGAATATTCTTCAACACAATAAAAGCTACATACAACAATCCATGCCTAAAACTATACTACATAGGAACATGGAGAGCACGCCTCACATCAGAAACAAGGTAGGGGTGCTCCCTTCACTCATCAAGCATCAAGCTAGGGAATGAAGTCTTACCTAGAGCAATAAGGCAAGAGAAAGAAACAAAAGTGATAATAACAGGAAAGGAAGAGGTCAAATTATCTTCATTTGCAGGTGACATGATCTTATAATTTAAGTATCCCACCAGAAAACTCTTAGATCTGATAAGCACTCTCATCAAATGAGTAGCATACAAAACCAATACATGAAAACCAGTAACATTTCTATGCATCAATTACACAACTGCCATGTACACACTACATAAAAGCAGAAGCAGACTATTTGGGGGGGTGGGAGGGGGTCAAGGGGGAGGGGAGAAAGAGTGGGAAATGGAATGTAAACACAAAGTATGTTTAATATGAAAATGTCATGATAAAGCAATTGTTTTATACAGTAAGTAAAATAACTAATCAAAACAGGAATATAACCAAAGATAACAGACTGAAATATGGTTTTAAGGGCACAGAGATGTTTTATCTGCAAAAAACATTTACAACTCTTTAGATATTCCGTGATAATTTTCCATAACTGAATAAAATTACCAGGCAAAATCAAGTGGAAAGGTAAAAGAATTTATTTAATATTAGTGGGTAACATTTAATTCAAGGGAATTAATTTCAATCCAATAAAATATAGTCTATTAAGTTTTCTTAGAAGAAAGTACTTTACATATAAATTTGAGGTTCTCCTAAAGTTTAGGAATGACCCTTATACTCACATTGCTGGCTTAACATGGGGTTCTCTAACTGGGTCTCAATCTCTTGAAGATACTTTGAGGAAACCCAGAGGAAAATGATAGCATGGTTCCTCTTACTGTGATCATCATCCTTGCTTTTCCATAACCCAAACCTCTTTAAATGTATGGTGTCCACTGACAGCGAAACCTCATTCACGGCCACTGAAATAAACAAAACAAGCAATTTAAAAAGTAATATACCATCTCTGCTATTTCTTGATATACTTTATGTCTTAGTAAGGGTTTCTATTGCTGTGATGAAACACCGTTCCCAGAAGAAATCTGGGGAGGAATATGTGTGAAATTGCCAAAAGAAAACTTAATTAAGTTGTCATCTAAGAAATGGTGAGAACGGGAAAACAGTCTTCCCCAGAGAAGAACATACCACCTTAGTTATCCGATGCCAAGTGGTCAGCCCCGAAAACACATGCACACAAGTAACATTACAGGGACTAAACAAGTTGTAGTGATATATTTAGGACTGTGTGTGTGTGTGTGTGTGTGTGTGTGTGTGTGTGTGTGTGTGTGTGTCTGTCTGTCTGTCTGTCTGTCTGTCTGTCTGTGTGTCTGTGTGTTAAAGAAAAAGAGGCCATGAGTTTGAAAGAAGAAAGAGGGGGTACATGAAGGTAGTTTAAAAGAGGAAAGAGAATGAGGAAATGATGTAATTTTTATTATAATCTCAAAAAGTACATAATGATAATTCATCTGAAAAAAGAGGTGGACAGTAAAGAAATTATGGTATAACTTTTTGACATATGCTGAAATCTTGCATCATCCTCCACAGACTCCTGCCCAGCCATATTCATTGCTACTCTATTCATAATAGAGTATTCATAATATTCATAATAACATAAACGCCCTACAACCAATTAATGGATAATGGAAGTGTGGTACATATACATTACGGAATACCATTCAGCTGTAAACTAGTAAAATAAAATAAAATTATGACTCTGCAGGTAGAACAGAAAAGATCACATTGGGTGAGATAACTCAGAGAGAAAAAGGTGGCATGTTGTCTCTTATTGGAGGTGTCTAGCTTCATCTCTTCAGAAGTGAGTGCGCCTGGAGTTACTGCAGAAGCCAGGAAAGTAAGAAGGGATCATTACAGGAGAGCAATAGGGAAGGGTGAAGGGGAAAATGAGAAAATGGAGGGCTTCTAGTTAGCGAGGAAGAGGGAGATAAATACAAAAGGAAGGAGGGGGTAAAATAACAGTTAAGGATGTCGGAAAAGGTCATAAAGAACCATATTATTGACTAACAATCGAAAAATAATTATAATACACAACAAGCCTATGTATAAATCTATATAGTTTAAACAAAACTTTCCCATTTGGACTGACAATGCTCCCTCCAAGACACAAAGACCATCTAACAAAAACCCCAACACCAGAGATGAGAAACCCTCTTTGGAGTTGTTGGTCAGAGTCATCCAAGGGACTCCCAAACATTATAGGCTACTGCTCTTAGCTGCCCTGAGAGGTGGAGGGTAAATCCTATTGCCGAAGACACCGCACATCAGACACAGGGCCCAAGGCCTCTGATCTGAACTAACTTGAATGCCTCCTCCCTGAGAACTAGCTCTCATGGTACCAGAAGCCACAGTGCAGGCTTCCAAAGGAGGAAGGCAGCCAGCAGTCCGACCCAGCAATGATGCATATGAACCACAATGACTACAAGCATGGCACAGTAAAGGGTGAAGCATGCATACCTTGGTGGTAACCAACAGCTCTCTAAAAGGACTTGAGTCCTCGCCAAAGGGAAGTCATGCTTGGTTCTAGAAACTTAGCTAACTGTCTTGGAGGAGAACCTGCAACCACCATTATCCCTAAATATATTTTAAATATTTGTCTTTATACCCACATATAAGTATATTTCTTGTCCTCCCATCAAGGAAACTTCTCTTGGCAGCAGACAAAGACCATTACAGAAAAAGCCCAACTAATCAAAAAGCTTGTGGGTCCCAGTTTCAAGTAATACATCTACAACAGAGAACCTGCACCTTTGTGGTGCCTTTGTGGCACCTTTGTGGAAGAGGGGGGCAGAGAGACTAAGAGCAGCAGATCACAGAGTTTGTTGTGAGATTGTGTCTCCTATGGATGTCCAAAGCTACACCCATGAAGTCTCACCAATATGACTGCCCAAACATGAACCGAACAAGGGTAACACTAATTAGCTCTTAATAATTAGTTCTAAATCATGTTAGTGTTTTCTACCAGGGATATTAAGTTATCATGTACCTTCTATGTTCTCACGACTTAAATGGTAATCCAATCATTAATTAGATTTATTACCGTAACAGAGTTCTCAGCTGAGCAACATGAAGTTGCTTCAATTACATCTTCAATGTCATGATGATGCTTCTTTTACTCTAGTTCATATCTGAAGTGTTTATCTATGTGTATCTGTATGTAGAGAATAGTCTCTTTAGATTATTCTCTTTCAGTTATTACTTTTCATCACTAAGTATTTTGAAATTTGTTTGGGAAAGAATGAGAAAATAGTCTGGGTCTCTTTAAACTGTAAGTATACATTTCCATTCTGCTTTACTTAGATAAGATATAGCATAAAAAACTCTCTGACAATTCCCAGCTAAGCACGAGCCAAACTCCTAGAATCCAGTTGTAGAGAGGGAGGAGTGATGAACAAAGGGGTCAAGACCAGGCTGGAGAAACCCACAGAAACAGCTGACCTGAACAAATGGGAGCTCACAGACCCCAGTCTCACAGCTGGGGAACCAGCATGACACTAAACCAGGCTCCCTGAACATGGGTATCAGTTGGGGGGCCTGGGAAGTCTATGGGGCCTCTGGCAGTAGAACCAGTATTTATCCCTAGTGCATAAATGGGCTTTGGGAACCCATTCCCAATGGAGGGATACTCTCTCAGCCTAGACACACAGGGGAGGGCCTAGGCCCTGCCCCAAATGATGTGACAGACTTTGATGATCCCTCACCATCCCTGGGGAGTGGATAGGGTGTGGGATAAGGGGCGAGTGGGGGGGACTGGGAGGACAGAAGGAAGAGGGAACTGTGATTGATATGTAAAATAAGATTGTTTTTAATTTAAATAACAATTAATAAAAAAAAAAACAAAACAAAACAACCTCTCCGTCTATACAAATATATACTACATTTGTGTGCTTTTTTCTTTAGTTCTTATCTTAATCATTTTCATGTATAGCAAAATACTTGTGCTGTCAAATTTTATTTTTGTTAATCCTAAGAAAGCATCGAGTACTTTACTATCATTTGGTTTACAGTCAATAAAATAATAATTATTATGTTCTTTTGGGTACTATAAAATATTTTAAAGTTTTTTGGAACTGTAAAAAATGTTGACTTCAAACATTCAACTACCTTTACTTGACTTATTTTCTATACTGAAAAGTGATGGAAAACTTGTTAATTTCCTAATAAATTACTACACACTCAAAATTACAATGAAAAATTCACTAAGAAAAGATGGCTTACCTTGAAATGGGATTTTAATATACTTCGTTGTGAACTAAAGAAGAAAATATGAAACAAAAAAATGAGTTACTACTCCAAGTGCATTTCTATTCAATTTTCTTAATATTCAAGTATTTAATACTATTCGATTTTTAGTACTTAATAAACTATTAAAGAATCAAAGCAAAGAACTATCTCAAAGTAAAGACTTAGTTTTAGGGTTCAGAGTCTTTAACTGTGTGAGTAACTTAACCAAAATACTCACTTATAAAAATTGGTAAGACTCTACTTTTCAAAAGTGTTTTCTGAAATTTTAAGAACTAAGACTCTAAAGAAATGCCAGAGACCACACAAGGCAACTACCTTCAAAGAAGATGACTACTCTCTTAGGGGTTAGCCAAACTCACAATAGACAACTGATCAAACAATGGTGACAATGTACTATTTATCTGTAACAAGACATTAAAATTATCACAAGACTTAGTTATATCCCCATACGCTGTGGGTCTTGTCTTTGAAAACTAACTGAACTCAGAAGACTATTTTTACTACACACAAACAGAACAACAGCAGCAATGCTTAATAAAGAATGGTGACAAAAGTCTAATGAAGCTGACTTCAAGACAGTGATGCACCTGTCAAAGGATGGCATAAAGTAAGTCTCACGCCAGCACAGCCCTCTGCTAAGTAACTTTAGTAGAGCATCACTCTCTCTCTCTCTTATCTCCAGCAATCATTTCTTCGCTCTGTTCAGGAACTCCCTTTGACTGAGGTCCTTGCTCTTTCTGATCCTTCTACTTCATTAAACTATCTCCTCTGGTTATCTTCTATGTGTCTGTGCAACTTAAGTTGTACTTATAACTCTCACGACAAAACTTTACATGTACTATCCAAACAGGTTTGTGTTTTGACAATTGCTTTTCCCTTACTAACAAATAAATCTGCCTATACTTGTTTGGTTAAGTTTCTTTTCTAATCAACACATTATGACTAAGTCAATCAATACATTGTTGACTATATCAGAGATGTTACTTGCAAATATAAGATAAAAAATCAAATACACAGCATATGAGTTCTAGGCAAGTAACAAAGTGTTCAATGACAACACAGGTTTATTTTTATTCCATTTATTTTTTTAATTTAAAATTATATTACATTCATATTATATTTTGCATCATTAGTTTCCAAATCCAGCTAAACAGTAACTATCATTGAGAAATTTATCTTAATTACAATAATGTCTAACATAGTTTGTCCTCTAATGTTTGAAAAATTAAATTTAATTACCTAATATATTTACCCACCAAAAATATTTCTTTCATTTCTGATACAATAAATCATGAACTCTATCTGAAAAAGAATACATATAAAATATCTTTTGAAAACCAATACATTTTTAAGACTTTTACCCTCTTCCCTTGTTACTTCCTGTTTTAATTTTACAAACTGTCTATGTGTTCTCCCATCATAATTCTATATATTATACAGTTCCTCAGTCTTTCATCATGTACATAAATTTACGCTGATTTATTAAGCTGCTTTCCTGTAATATGTAAGTTTGTTTTGAGTCAGGGTTTCAGGCTCTTGGGCTCAAGTGACCACCTCACCTCAGCCTCCCAAATGAGTACTACTGTGGCCAACATAAACCCAATATTCAACGCAAAACACCTGGATAACTGAAATGAACAACAAATGGAAATTGTAAAAGACATCCATCCCAAAATGGAAAGGAGAAGTAAATTAATTTAATGCGGCAAATTGCAGAATAATCCTGATATATGTGCATATATACATTCCAAATTAACAGCTGCTGTCTTGGTATACAAAATTGTTTGTGGTCTTTATGGAGATTTTTTGTTGGTTCTAGATTTTGCCTGCAACAAACTTTACACTATTCTGAAAGTGAAAATATGGTCACTAATATTTTTTATGGTTTTTTCTTTTACTTTGGAAATTATAATTACATCATTTTCCCTTCCCATTCCCCCCTCCAAGCCTTTCCACATACTCCACCTTGCTCTCTTTCAAATTCATAGCTTCTGGATTCATTAATTATTGTTTTCATGCATGTTTGTATACACAGATATACATGTATTTCTAAATATAAGCAGCTCAGGCTGTATAATGTTGTTTGTATGTTTGCTTTCTGAGCAGATCATTTGGTATGGGATAAATCGTGTGTTTTCCCTGGGGAAGACTGTTTCTTCTGCTCTCAGCATTCTTAGCTGCCTGTAGTTCTTTGTGTACAGTTGAAGCCTGTGGTCCTTCCCTTCCACTTTGGTTTTGTCTAGTGTTGTGGTCCTTTTACAGCTCGTCTTTAGGCAATCATGTGGTGAGACATTACTGAGATTTCGACATAAAAAGTTATAGGATTTACTTACCGTGACACAACCTTTTGAAGCTCCTTTTACTTTACCAATATACACAGAAGTAAATGCAATATCCAGTTTCAGATCCATTTCACTATTAGGTTTAATACAGGAAATATCTTCCATGTCAGGATTGTAGGGACATACTTCAGATGTCTAACAAAGAAAAAATTACAAATGTATAAATCTCTAAAAATTATTAAAAAAGTTTTAAATTATATTCAAAGACAAAATTCTTTAAATTATGATTAAAAAACTTTAGACTGTTCTTAAGGTGACAAAATAGTCAATAGGATTTTTTTTGTATAAAATATAGATTTTAAACTTAATTTTTAATTTTGAATCTTGGACATTCTTAGATTTTGTATGTGCATATGTAAAACTGAAAATAGACTTGAGGTTAATTTTATGGGATATTTTGGATGTGTTGAAAGACATTATACCTATTTTGAATAGTATCTTGAATATCATTTAATATCATTCTCTTACCAGATTATTACACAACAAAGTTTGTTTACTTAAAGTTTGGGTTGGAGGGAGTATAGAGAAGAAAAGCCAGTGACTTGGGGGCAAGTTGTCTGGGTATAGAAAACCAAACAAAATTGCTGCCAGATTTGTCCTTTGTTTTATGGTTACTTATATTCTTGCATAAACCTCCCTCATTAACTTTTGAGTTTCTTAGGATGAAGAGCTATGGTTTTTATTCTCCCCTTTTAAACCTGAAAACAGTATAAACTCAAGAGGACATTTAGAGATATTTATTTAATTAAATTAGACTAATGTTAATTGAAGTCAAATATTTCTCTAATGATTTTATTAATTTTCACTGTGCTGGAAATAAAACAGATTAAAACTGTTGGGATATGTTTTCTATTTTCAACAAATTTGTAAGCCTTGTAGAAGAGACAGAAGAAATTTTATCACTGGCATCTTAATGAGAAATGAATTAAAAAAAAGAAGAAACAGACAGACATGTAACTAATTATTTCTTTATGGTAAACTACACCCTGAACAGGAGAAATGGGTATGGAATAGGAACCTAGAACCCCGGAAAAATCAGCCAAGGTTTCATAAAGAAGACAGCACAACATGAAGTAAATATGGCCATGAAGGAAGAAGACCTAATCATATCAGAGTAAGCACTATATATGAATCTGAAAATTTCTAGAAACTGTAAATTATTACAATTTTTGATATAGTCAACTTGCTAGACTGAAAGTTCAAGAATTATTTGGTGGATTGGAAAGATGACTCAGTGGTTAAGAGCACTCACTGGCTTCTCTTCAGGAGGACCAGGGTTTGATTCCCTGAGATCTCGCAGTTCCAGAAATCAGGCACCCTATTCTGACCTGCACACATGGGGTGCACAGATATGTATGCTAATAAAACACTCACGCACATAAAATAAAAAGAGAAAGAATAATTTGGTTTAAAATTAATATTCTCTGGCCACATATTTTACTTGAGTATTTATAAGTGGCTGAGATGGAGCACTTTGCTTTTCTCGATCGAAATTCAGGTTTAATCAGTCATTTCTGTGGAATTCTTTGTAATGACAAAAAAAAAAAAAAGGATGACCTAAATAACTGATTATTCATGGAGAAAAAGCCAACATAGATGTTGATACTGAGTTTTTATTTACTTAAATAAAATCAAAACCCAAACCCAAAATTAATCCTAAGACTAAACTCAATAATAATATTCTCCTTTGCCACTATTTTGAATTCACTATTCTCTAACTGGTTTTATTCATTTTTTTTTTTACATTAATGGAAACACGTTTTAGATTAAATTGTACTTTCATTTCAAATAAATGTTTAAATGATTCAGATCTTTTAATCTCTATGACAACTGACCAAACAGATTATCTTGCCCCTCCCCATTTTACAAATAAAGTTAAGAGTCTTCTGGAGTGGTTGGTTAACGTCTTCTTTGTGGTCCTGCACTCAGCAAAAAGCAAATCTAAGACACAAAATCAGGTCAAATATTCAAACAAATTCCTTCTACTCACCAAGATAATATTCTTGCTATTGTTTATTAACATATTTTTCAGTGACAAGAATGAAACAGTAATCAGTTTCATATAGTATTTATAACACTAGAGATAAACGGTTGTCAACAAAGAGTAACAAAGACACTGACTGCCAGGAGGCATTTTCTTGTACAATATTTTTTGTGTATCCCCAACACACAGCATTTATACACAGAGCCACTGATGCACAACAGGGTATCCGAAGAGGCCAAATCAGAGTAAGGCTGCTTTACAGACTGAGGTTTTTAGTGTATGTTCTATGTAAAACCAGACTGAACTTTTGAACTGGCAACAGAAGATACCTGTGCCAAACACTACAGGTAAAGCCCCCAGTTTAGTGAACAGTTTCCAACTCATCTAAACACATGACAGAATAATAGTTGTTATGTAGAATTACATATTATAATACTATAAATTCTTCGAGAAATTCGTACATGCATATAATGTATTTTGGTCCTAGTCACAGTCAACTCCTTCTAATTCCTCTGAGATCCAACCCCAGACAAAATAATACATGTTTTTAAAGAGAGACATAAGTGCTTAAGAACCCTGTGACATCAAACCTATGTTTCACTATAGACTCTATATTTGAAGATAGACAACTTGATGTGAGGAAAAGAAATAATTCCAAGTAGGCATACTACTCCAAGAGCAGACAAATATCAAAGTTACAATTCAGTGACAACACAAAAATATTCAAGTCACAGAATATTTAGACTAAAAAAGCGTTTTACTAAAACTAATAGGAAAGTTGCTGTAAAACCCACATTCAGGAACTGCATAATCTTAGTCATCATATTCTGCTTACTAAAACAATAAGTAGATATTAACCAATAAGAATATTTTACTGGGGGCTGGAAATGTGGCTTGAAAGATAAGGGTACCTTCCACTAAGCCTAACAACTGAGCTGAGTCCCTGGAACATCCATAATGAGCGACAAGAACTCCTGCAGGTTGTCCTCTGACCTCCACAACTGTACCATGGCCTGCACATCCACACATATACACAGAAATAAGTAAATATGTAGAAGAATTGTTTAAGCTTTGATAATGAGAAAGCAGAAATAAATTACCTGTACTGACTCACAGGCACCCAGTGGTAGTTCTGACAAATGTGCTTCAGACATACCCTGACCTTCACTTGCAATCTCATAATCTTGACTAGGCTGTAACTTTAGAATTGCTGAGTTATTATGTTCAATGGGTCCTTCTTCATCACTGGAAACAACAACTAAAGGGAAAGGGAAAACGTGTTATGAATGTCTTACAATAATGACTTACAGGGAAAAAAAAAACCTTTCTAATTATCTTTAATAATCACATTAAACCTACAAATCTATACTCAACTTTAACCTATCTTTCACTACCTAATTAGTAGTAGTTATATACAGATTCCCCATCAGCATTATTGTTCAATAGCTTCCTAAAATCTTGACTTCTAAAGAATAAAGACATTTAAAGATGACTAAAACCATTAGTAAACATGGTATCTCTCCATGTTGAATGTCCTCAAAGATTTGCCAGTTAAAAACTTGGGCCCATGTGTGTTATTACTGAGATGAGGCTGAGCCTTTCAGAGGTGGGGCCTACTGGTGGAAGATCCTCAGGTCCATCTTGTCCTTCGATCCCTGGGGCTTGCCACAAAGGATATGGAGTTGCTGGTCAAGCCATACCCTTTGCTCCCTGGAGAATGGAATATGTGGTTTTGCTCTCCTAAATGCTCCCTGACATTTCCTGCCATCTAGAACATGCACCCTCAGAGGCCCAAAGCACTGGGTCTACTCACTGGACAGAAGCTTAGATAACTTTAAACAAAACAAATCTCTTCCTCACCCCTCCCTCTCTCAACTCTGCACCAATATCAGGATTTTATCCTTCCTTTCCTTTTCTCATTTTTTAGTGCTGGAGAGGGAATCCAGAGTCTTGTAAAGGCTAACCAAGCACTATGCCACTGAGTTACACTATACGCCCCGCCCAGTCTTTACTTGTGTAATTATAGCAGGTATTCTGTTACAGTGATAGAACGAACAGGCAAGTTTACAAACAATTTCTAGTTCTAACAAAGTGCTGTGATTATCACTCCTAATTATGCCCTAAGTCCTTTCACATTACTTTCTTGTGGGAGGGGAAAATGGATAGCAGATAGAGATGTAAATCACTGTGTACCCTTTAGAGCCTTTTGAATTTTTCTATCAGAAGCCAACTACAATTTTTAAGAATTGATCAAATCAAATTAATAACAAATTGAATTTAAATTGCACTTCAACAACATAGTCTTCAGAGAATCTTTTTTTTTTTTAATTGTTTGGTTACTTTTGAAACTTATTCCTTGGACTGGAAAGATGATTCAATGATTAAGAGCACTTACTGCTCTTACAAAGGACCTGGTTTAGGATTTCTGCATCTTCTTAGAATTCCCCATGACAGCGCCCCTTACCAGCAGGAAGTAGTTTGGAAAGAACGATGCCCAAATTCTCAAATATTGTCTATAAATGTTTGCTTTCATTTAAATGGACTTGGTTATAAAAACAAAACAAAACAAAACAAAAAAAACAAAAACAAAAAAAACAAAGGACCTGGTTTCGTCACCATCCGTAACTCCAGTTCCAGGGCACCAGGCACCAGGCATTCATTTGGTGCATATACATACACATAAGCAAAACACTCATACACATAAAATGAATCTAAAATCAAAGGAAACAAAGAACTCACTGTTTCCAGACTCACTTATTTACCTAAGTTAATATTACAAGATTCAAAAGGGAACCATTGAGGAAGTATTTCCCAGAAGCCCAAACAGCCTTAGGAAAACTTGAGAAAAGCGAAAGCTCTGCGTAAGCTTTGAAAATGAGTGTCTGTACAATCTTTACTCACTCGGTTCAGCGGAAAGCAATAGTTGGTTCTCTTCACTGTTCCCACCTACAACAGACGTTTCTTTCAAAGTCAATGCCTCGCCCTTCTCAGCTGCGGAGGAAGTCTCTGCCTCATTGTGAGAAACAGGGTTCTCTGAGCTTCTGGGGGGTGAAGAGGCCCTTCCAGAGGCAGCACTGACACCCGACTCTTGAGCGGAAGGTGAGCAGGCATTAGTGGCTTCACTCTGTAAAGGTTCAGGTGTAAGTCCTTCAGGCGGTGCTGGGTCCTGGTGACAGTTCTCACTTGGCTGTTCAAGCTTACTGGAGGCTGTTGAATCATTTTCTTCTTCTTTCTGAACATTTTTTTAAGAAAGTAGAGAATTTAAATTTTTCCATTTTAGTTTCCCTGAGGCATACTTCTAAGACTTAAGTTCATAAGGAATAACGTAAAATGAAAATGTATCAATTTTTAAGTATAGAGAGATAAGCGACACAGCTTGGCAATGTCACCAACGTATGATGATGATATAGGGCTTAACCTATTAAAATTAAATCTGATGTCCAAATCACCTTTAAAGGGTCAAATAAAGAAATTTCCATTTCCATACATGGCAAAGTCAGAGCAAAATAAACTTTTGAATAAGAGGATTTTTAAAAACATTTTTATTTCCAAAGGTCGTAGCAAAAACATTGAATAAGAAAGACCATCAAAAACTATGAGAACTCTTGCCACCAAACCTGGCAACCTGACTTTGCTCACTGGTGCATACATGTTGAGAGGAGGAAACCAACTCCCATAAACTGTGCTCTGAGAGTCATATACACATGTCCCCATGTGTGCATACACGTGCATCTATGTGTGCCAATGCGCACACACACACACACACACACACACACACAAAGAGAGAGAGAGAGAGAGAAATAATAAAGTGAAATAAAAGTAATGTAATTTAAAATTCAAAAAAATAAATAAATTTTACACAGAATTAGAAAGAAATCCAATAAAGTAAAAAATTCAAAGAACATTCATTATTTGGTGATAAAAATCACAGCACAAAATCATTTCCTATGGCATTTAAATACATCGACTTACTATATATTCTGTTGGTGTATCCAAAGAAGATTTAGAATTATTAGAATCATATAAATTACTTCTAACCCTTTTCTTTCTCTTCCTGGAAACTTGGGTGTGCTCCATCTCTGAATAAGAATATGAAGTGTTCTTGTTTCTGGTCCCCTTTGCAAGATAATCACAACCTTTACTTCTACGATTAAAGTCTTTAAAAAAACATAAAAAGCACAGTTAACCCAAAAAGTATACAACAGTTCCATTTACATGAGTTTGTAGTCCTACTAAAATTACAATACTGCCTAAGGCTCATTAAAACAAAACTCTGCCGTGACACTGGATGAAAAAATAAAAGGTATCGCCTGTATTAACCACCTCTGTTCTTTAGACAATAGGTGTGAGAGGCATGCTACAGAGTTTACAGGGAGGAAATATCCTTTTAAGAAGTAATGAAAATGAGACAACTAACCATGGTTTTTCTATTTGATATAAACACATTTTGTTGTTGCTGTTTTAGTTTATCTATGTAGCCTTAGCTAACCTGGAACTTACTCTATAGACCAGGCTGGCCTCAAACTCAGAGATCTACCTGCCTCTGCCTCCTGATTGCTGGGACTAAACATCACTGCCTAGGTTTTTAATAATTGGATAACAGTATCTTAATGGGTTTTATGAAAATTTAGAAAAATCTGTCTTTTCAAATGTTTGTATAATTCACCACAATTTTTAAAACTGGTAACAATATATTTAACTTAAAAGTCAAGTAACTAAAATTTAAGAATAAAACTATGATTGTTTTTCTTTCTTCACCATTGTCTGTGAAATGTGTTCATTTACAAGGACATAAATATGCTTGATAATATGTTTCTTCTTCTAATAATCAAAACTCTCCCAATCTAAGTATCCCAGAAGCCCACAATTCTGACTTGGAAGAACATCCTGTTTAAGTGAAAAGCATCATTTTGGAAGGCCATGCCAATCATCACTAAAAAATGTTTCATATTTCAGTTAACAATACATGCTGCACGAAACTATCTCCCAATACCTTTTAATGAAAAGTCTGAATTATTTAACTTTCTAAACCATTATCATATGAGCATCAACTCCAAGTTTACATACCCAAATCACAAAGCAAGCCACATTTAGACACAACTTACATTCGTTTTAAAATTACTGGATTCAGGCCTGGTGGTGGTGATATACACCTTTGATCCCAGCACTCTCGAGGCAGAGGCAGGCAGATCAAGTGAGGTCAGCTTGGACTACACAGTGAGTTTCAGGACAGCCAGAGCTTCACAAGGAAACCTTGTCTCAAAAGAAAAGAAAAGAAAGGAAGGAAGGAAGGAAGGAAGGAAGGAAGGAAGGAAGGAAGGAAGGAAGGAAGGAAGGAAGGAAAAAAATGACGAGCTTCAAATTCCCAGCTTTAAAAACAAAATAGATGGTCAGGGCATTGGTGGCTTACACCTTTAATCCCAGCACTGGGGAGGTGGAGGCAGAGGCAGAGGCAGGTGGATCTCTGTGAGTTCCAGGCCAGCCTGGTCTACAGAGCGAGTTCCAGGACAGGCTCCAAAGCAATACAGAGAAATCCTGTCTAAGGAAAAAAAAAAAAAAAAATATATATATATATATATATATATATATATATATACCCAAAAACTAGTCTATTCTATTCCTTTTCCCAAGATAATAAGCTTCCCAGAAATTATTAACACAATACATTTAAAAACATAGCAAATTTTGCTTGCATTTCAAATCATTAAAAAGTAAGGTATAGTGTGGACAGTACAACCTGGGAGTCAATGAAGAGTTTTTTAAAATGAGACCATCAGCACAGGGGGCATTCAGAAAGGGGAACTGTGAATCTCACAGGAGTGAAGAGGAGTTGAAGCAAATATGTTCAAAGTACATTGTATGAAATCCTCAAAGACTAATAATGTATTTTAAAAGATCAACTACAATATCTTAACATAAATACTGTGTCAAATTACAATTTCTAAAAAGAAAAAAGTTATGGTAAAGGACCAAGAAGAGCCAGGTGCAGTGGACACACCTTTAATCCTAGCACTAAGGAGACAAAGGCAGGCAAACTGCTCTGAGGTCAAGGTCAGCCTGGTCTACATAGTGAGTGAGACCCTGTCTCGAAAACAAATGAACTAATAAAAAGGGCTAAAGAAGGAGAAGGGAACTTGAAAAGATAAAAAAAAAAAAAAAAGAACGTATTTTTATAGGAATCTGCCTTCAAATAATTTACTACTTATACAGCAGCAAGCCAAATCAGGAATAAATTTATTATACAGAGATGAGCATTATAAAACTAAGGTTCTATTAATATACTATATACAACTTAATATGGAAATTATCCTAGCAAATAAGATTCAAGAAGTCACAAAACTCCTATCATTAAACTCCTATGCATTTCCAATGTATTCTTATAGTTTAAAAAAAAGAAAATGAAAAGTCTACAAGGCAGATTTACTTCTCTACAAAAGGAAAACTATACCTATAATTTACTACAGAAACTCATTTATGGTAAAGCTTCAACAACTGGAATCAGAAAAGCTATCTTTAATTATCTTTTTTGTTGCTGTTTTTGGTTTTGATTTTGGTTTTTTAAGACAGAGTTTTTCTGTGTAACATCAATGGCTGTCCTGGATCACTCTCTGTAGTCCAGGCTAACCTCAAACTCAAAGAGCTCTGTCTGCCTCTGCCTCTGCCTCCCAAGTACTAGGATTAAAGGTGTGCACCACCTCCACCTGGCAATTCTCTTACGATTATTTTGTATTTATTTTAATAACATATAAAGTAATGAGTTTCATTATGGTACTTATTATTCTTTTGTTTTTGTTCATCAATCCTTCTTCCCAATTCCACTCCCCAGGATCTCTACCTACTTTCTAGTTTCTGACCTATAGTCACACTCATTTCCACATAACCAGACACAATATTCAAATTAGAATAAAGGAGACCCTCATTTAATATAATAATCTCCAGATCCAACCATTTCCTGGCAAATTCCATGATTTAATTTTTCTTTAAAGCTACATGGGTATATGTCTAGGTCTTTGAACAAGGAGGAGCTAATGGGCCCCCAGACTGATAGCTGGGAATCCAGCATTGTACCGACTCAAACCCCCTGAACATGAGTCTCAGTTAGAAGGACCGAGCAGTCTAAGGGACCTCAGACAGTGGAACCAGGATGTATATCCCTGGTGCACAAAAGGACTTTGGGAGCACATTCCCCATGGAGGGATACTCCCTTAACCTAGAGGCAGGAGGGAGGGCCTAGTGCCTACTCCTAATGACTTGACAGATTTTGATGATCCCTCCTGGATGGCATCACCCTCCCTGTGGAATGGGGGTGAATAGAACAGAAGGGAAGGTTGGGGGGCATGAGAGGAAGGGAAAAAGAGGAAACGGAAATCTCTACCTAGAAAGTAGGTAGAGATTCTGAGGAGTGAAATTGGGAAGGAGGATTTATATCTATAATAAATATATAAATAAATATAAATATTTCTGGGTCTTTGATTATATTCCATTGGTCTGTTTGTCTGTTTTGTGAGAGTACCATGCTATTTTTGTCATTATGTATCTGTAGTATATATAATCTGAAGTCAGATATTGTGATAACTTCCTGGAAGTTCCATCTACTTAATTTTAGCTGTGTATTCTGTTTCCATATGAATACTTAGAATTATTTTTTCTAAAATAAAAGAGAATCCTAACAGTTATATTTAAAATAAAATACATAAACTTTTGTATAGCGTGATGAAAGGACACTTTTTTCTTGTGAATAATTTATAAAATTACTCAGAAAACAAAATATCTTACTTTGTTTTAAACATTCAAGAATCCAAGAGAGCCCTAATGATTAAGGAAGTAAACTAGTTTTTCATAAATTTGAGCTAAAAAAATTTAAATTTTCAAAGAAAAATAAATAGGAAAGGAGTCATAATTATTCATTATATACATCAGGAGACCTGTGAAGAATTTTTAGAAGTCTGAGATGTATTTATTTACCTTCATGTTTGCTAAATGTGGCTTAGGTGGGCATCCTTTGAGAGTTAAAAGAAGTCCTAACCAATGCATTTTGTAGTAAGAGAATTAACAGTAAGAAGCTTATAATAAAAATTCCAGATAACAGTAATATTAATATCCATGAAAAACAATGATTTGAACAGTCAAACTAGCATAAGTTCAAAGATATTTTTACTCTGTACACACACACACAAAAACAAAACGCAATATTCAAATTTAACTTTGGGACTGACAAAGAAAGAAACATACTGAGGTATATAAATAGATGTTTTGGTAATTCTATTTGCATTGGATAAATACTCCTGTCTACTTTTACATACCATTTCACTATTACTATAAAATATTCCTAACAAAAACTACTGTAAATACAATAAGCAAAATTCGAATTCAGTTTCCTAGCAATCACAAACCTTTAGGCTGAGTATCAGATGTCACAGAAATGCCACGATTACCTCTGTGCTTTTCTTTCACACATGGAGCCTGCTTTGCAGAAATGTTATCTGTCTTAGTTGGTTTTGAGCCTCTGCAAAACAGAATTGTATTAAATTCATTCAAGTAAGGGTCAAATGAATTTAGAAGCCACCTGGCACAAATTCAAGTAAAAATTCAGTAGGCTAAAAATAAATTATTACATGTAATACTATATGATAACAGCACTTTAAAAATATATATATGATCAGTACTTTTTTTAAAAGTGTGCACACCTTTGGTCCCAGAACTCAGGAGGCAGAGGTAGGTGGATCTCGAGTTCAAGGACAATCTGGTCTAAAGAGCTAATTCCAGAACAACCAAAAATACACAAAGAAACTCGGCCTTGAAAAACAAACAAACAAAAACTACTGAACTCAGATTTGAAAAGTTCTCATTTCTGTTTTACCCTTACATTGTCAAAGGTATTGGGGGGCAAGACAGGATATCAACACTGTTATCTGCAAAACAAGAAAAAAATAATCTTAAGTGAACTAGGTAAGTCAGAGTAGTCTGAGCACCCTCCAGGGCAGACATTGCGCCTCCAAGAGCTGAAGACCTCACCTAAAAGAGACAGAGAGTCATCAAGCCAGCCCCTCCTCTTTCTGATTCAGGGGCACATCTGCACACTGAAGCCACACCCCAAGGTTTGGCCATTACTTTAAGTCTACTGATAGAACACAATGCTACTACAGAGTGTACTACCACACCAGACCCTAAATGTGTTTGTTCCTCAATATTTTACTTTAGTGATTTTGCCTGTACCTTATATTTTACGTTATTTTATATAGGTAAAAGTTAACACATTCCAAACTTTATTTTTTTCTTAAGATTTGTTTTTGAGCCATTTTTGAAACATATTAACAACTAGCTTTGGCTTATAATAGTTTTATTATACACTGGTTGATTATCAGGGTATTTGTGGTGTTTAAATTTTACTTTTTCAGCTGTTTATATTTATTTTAATATAATATTCTTTACTTATAAATTGGAAACTAAAATCTCAGGTATTCAAAATAAGACTCAGCCAATTTAAGTCGCAAAAACTTTGACTATGTCACTTCATTCTAGTTAGTCTGAAGCCTCAGCCATCAACTTTAGGTTAAGAGCATTTAAAAGTAACACTCTACTAGCAAGTTTCATTTACTCAAGATAAAAGCCTAAAGCAAAACAAAATCTGTTTTGCCTTTTCAACTTCCCAGTAAAATACCACAAAGCACTATAAACAAAACTAGAATGTGATCTAAATGTTTTTTTTAATTGAAATGAAATAAAAAGTTAACAAAACAGAAAAACATAAAACTGATTTTAATGCAACTTATGCCTGCTTATAGATAATATGATGCTCTAGATAAGAGACCCTAAGGGCCTGCAGAGGTGGCTCCCTGGTTAAAGTGCTTGTTGCAGAAGTGTGAAGAGAGGGCAGGACCCCAGCAGATATGAAAACCAAGCGGGCAGGCCTCTATAAATAAAGTGAGAGTGATGGAGGAAGACTCCCAACACCAACCTTTGGCCTCTAGATGAATGTATACACACTCACATACACGTGAGCATGAATACACACATGCACACACATCATAAACTCATGCAAATGCAAAAAAGGCCATGAAGATTCTTCCAGAAAACTTAAATTTAACAAATGCTTTCAGCAGTAAAACAGGATGTAAAATCACATACAAAGATCAGTAGCTTTCATACATACCAATGAAAAATGCAAGAAAAGCATTGGGGCAAAAGTCTATTCACAATAGCTTTTAAACACATGCCTTGTAATAAACCTAACCAAGGAAGTAAAGAACCTCTATAATAAAACTTAAAAACACTGAAGAAATTTAAGGCACTAGAAGCTTGGGAAGGCTTCCTTTCTCACAGACTGGCAGGGTTAATACTGTAAAATTGGGTAATGTCACTGAGAGAAATCTACAGATTTAACATAATGTCCACCAAAATTTCAATGGCATTCTTTATAAAATTAGAAAAAATAATCCTGAAATCCATACAGAAGCACAAAAGGCTCCCAAATAATGAAAGCGATACTGGATGTATCACAATACCTGGTCCCAAACTACACTACAGAATGATAGTCACTTGGCAGAGGCACAAAAACATACACATGGCCCAGCAGCAGAGTAAGAGATCCAACAGCCATCACCCTGAGCATTCCTCACATTCTCTCATCTTGGAAGTTAAGCAGGATCTGGCCTGGTTAGTACCTGAAAAGTTGAAGAGATGATCCAGAAATGCTTCTGCAGCTACACAACAGCCACCTCATTTTCAAGTAAGGTGAAAGTAACATACACTGAAAAAAAGCCTCCTCTACAGAGTGCAGAGAAAACTCTACAGAGTGCTGATAAAACTGAATACCCACACATAGAAGAAAGAAACTACGTCTATATTTCTCACCCTCCACAAACAGAAATTCCAAATGAATGAAAGACCTTAAAGTTAGATCTAAAATCTTGAAGCTGTTAGGGGAAAACCTCAAAACACTTCGAGACATAGGCACAGACAAGAATTTTCCAACAATAATTCCAGTATGTATGAAATTCTCTCAAAAAAATGGCAAATATTACATGAAATTAAGGCTTCTATATAAAACAAAATGAAACAATCATCAAATTGAAGAAACAACCTATAGAACAGAAAAGAAAAAAACCTTAACAATTATAAATCAGACATATAGAAACCTATAAAAAGAAAAAAAAACTCCAAAAATTTTAAAACAGAAAAAATCATTCACTTGATAAATGAATTAATGACTTAAAGAAATAGAAGAAGCACAATTGGCCTATACATTTTTTTTAAAAAGTATTCAGATGTTATGACAGTGGTGGTGGCCAGGCATTCAATCCCAGCAGAGGCAGGTGGCTCACTATGAGTTCGAGGCCTGATCTACAGAGCAAATTCCAGGACAGCCAAAGCTGCAAAGAAAAACCTTGTTTTGAAAAACCAAAACAAAACAAAAAGTGTTCAAGATCTTTAAGCCTATCAAGGAACTATAAATTAAAGATGCAGAGAGATTCCATTTCATCAAAGCCAGAGTTGCTATCATCAAAACAAATGCTGGCAGGGTTGCAGTGGCAGGGGTCTTTATACATTGCTGGTGGGTGTGCAAATCGACTTAGTCATTACAGAAATCAGTAAGAAAGATCCTCAAAACAGTAAAAATTGAACTAACATACAGATCCAGCAGTATTGTTCCTGGATCTATATACACCACAGGAACTCTAAGCATACCACAGAGACTTAAATACACAAGATTATTGCTACACTATTCACCAAAAAAGCTGGGATTTAGAGCAAGCCTGAAATTCCACCAGTAGAAAAGTGCATGAAGAGAATGTTGCATAGAAACACAACAGAATTTTATTCAGCTGTAAAGGACAATTATAATATTTGCAGGACACAGGTACAAAGACTGTGTGTTTTCTCTCAGATGAAGAATCTAGACTTAAATTTAGATACACGTGATGGATTCATAAACACATATAGAAGACATGAAAGCAGAAAAACGTCTATGAAAATGAGCAAAGAAATATAAGAGGAAGTGAGGGGGGCAAGAGAGGATTAAAAAACGCATATGACATGAAAGCAGTATACATATTTGAGGGAGGAAGGGGACCAGCAAAAGGAGAGGATGTGGGTGGGGGGCAAATAAGATCAAATGCGGAAAGACCACATACTTGCTCATGCAAGTTCAATTCCTCCAGAAGATCAGAGTTAATTGGAGTTGGGCAACTCATAACCACCTATAACGCAAATCTAATACCTCTGGCCTCCATGGACACCTGCACATATGTTGTGCGCGCGCGCACACACACACACACACACACACACACACAGGATTAAGAATAAAAAACATACCTTTACAAGATGTCACCCATTATTTAACAAAACCCATATATTTTGTATGCTAGTAGTTAACAATTTTAAAAATCACTAAGTAAGCTGGGAGTTGGTGGTACACACTTTTAATCCCAATATTCAGGAGACAGAGGCAGGCGGATCTCTGTGAGTTCCAGGCCAGCCTGGTCTACGGAGCTAGTTCCAAGACAGGCTCCAATGCAATACAGAGAAACCCTGTCTCGAAAAACAAAAACAACAAAAAACAAAAATCACTAAGTAAATGATTTAATATTATGCTTTAATGGGGGAAAAAGGGAAAAAAATAATGACAACAGAAAGAACAGTAAAGATTTCAATGGAAATCTAAACTAGGGAAACAGTGTTAGTATTTAGGCATTTGTACCGGCCTGCCTTTGGAGTGCTGACAGGATACACCCTCAGCTGCTGCCACTAAGCACCACCTGTGCACACTCACTGTGCTCCCTTTTAAAAGGGCCCTGCCCACCTCCCATCCTTCTCTCCTTCTCTCTGCCTCCCTTTCCTATCTCTTGCTACCCCCATCCTGGAGGCCAGACTCCCGGCTTCCCTTTCCCTTCTTACAAGCCTTTTCCCTTAATAAAGACACCTCCACTTGAACTCTGTCACATGGTATCCTTATCTCTGGAGAGCCACTTTTGTTAATTACAACAAATGGTACAAAAAAAAAAAGATCAACAAGACTAAAAGTGGTTTATTTTAAAGATAAACAGACAGGCTTTTAAGCTTGGATAAACTAAGACAGATGAAAATTAATAAATCTACAATGAAAGGGATTGTGAGAATAATACAAAGTATTATATTGCTCAAACTGGAAAACTTGGGGGGAAAATTGTAAATTCCTAACATAAACAAACTACTAAGACTGATCTGTGAAGAAATAAAATCCTAACAGACAAATAATGAACAATGAAATTTGATCAGTTATGTTTTTCCATGAAAAATAAATCTAAAAGGTGATGGCTTCACTACAAAAAGTCTATCCTCAACAACACAGGCAGTACAAAGACAGCTTAGTGAGGAGAACCCATGAGATTCCCAAACAATATGATGAAGCAATATAGGCTCCTGTCATTGCCCTGGTTGCCTTCCAGAACTTGAAGGTAAGACCCTAGGTTAGGCAGGCATGGTGGTACATACCTATAATCCCAGCACTTGGCAGGCAGAGGCAAG